GTTCCTGAATTGAATAATGCTGCTCTCTACTTTAAAATCAATAATATGGCAAAAAATAAAAAAAAAAAGTGCACCATTTATTTTCCTTTCATGAAAAGTGATAGGAGAAAAGGTATGTGATATGATTTGACGGTTTGGTCAGCACAACAAACACTGAGATATTCACCCTGTTAGAAAAAGGGTAAATATGTACAAAAAGGGCAAAAAAGAAAAAAAAAAAGAAAGAAAGAAGAAAAAGCAAGCAAGAAAGAAAATAAGAAAGGAAAGAAATCCCAATGTATGGGTTAACTAATTAGTTGAAAATACTGTAACAGCTCATTGGGCAATTTCGTAATCAGATGAGCCCAAGGGATGAATATGATCAAGTTTATAACAGTTCATTTTCTTTGAATGCAGCTGTATACGATGCCCCAGGAGATTCTAGAAGCAATGAAACTACAGCGACTCTTTTGATTAATAACATATTCAATCCCTAAAATCCATGAACAGAAACACATATTGTTATGCCTCCAAGGGTATCCATAGATGTTACGGAGTCCCTTCCGGAGAGAGGGTGAAGTAGCTGGAAACCTCCTGTGAATGGCCATCTTAATTGTGTTGCCTTCTTAAACATGGTCTTTGAAAAAAAATTTTTTCTCATTTTTTTCCTTCTATCTAAGTTCATAGGGTTAAACTATGCTGTGATTGCCATAATTGTTATTTCTCCCCCAGTGATTTTATAGCCAACAAGGGAACATTAGCACCCATTGATTCTTGTGGAAAATAATCTATTTAAAGGTACTTGCTTCAGTTGAATCTTTTTTTAAATGCTTCACTCCATTATTTCATTATGGAGAAATCTGCACTAAGATCTGGAGCTTCCAAAGAATTCACTTGTCTCCCTATTTATTCTTCCCTGGAAGTCATAAGCCTCTGTTGATAGTAGCCCAGATGGGTGGTAGGGAAGCAATTATGATTAAAAACATGATGGGAATTCAGAGAGCTGCAGGATGTCTAGGACTCTTGTGAAGGGCCTAATCCCACAAACATTATATGAGTTCTTTCTTAGGGTTGTCTATCTCTCAGTAGTTACTGGGTAAAAACATATATATATATGTATTTACTATAGTATACATAAACTGCTTCAGTAGTTTGACCAGTATTTTATATATTTAGGTTAGACACAGAAATATCTGATAATATCAAAGAATCTTTTTCCTTTCCATTGAAAGAAATTTACTTTAAAAAGATGCGGTAAACAAATAAAGTAATATGATTTTGCTCAGCAGTGTCTGGCATATATAGTAAATGAGAATTTCCTTTTCTTTTACCCTTTCTTCCTAAACCCAAATGTATGTCATTTAGGGAAAGGAGAAAAACGTACAGTAACCACAATATAGGTAATTTTAAAAAATTAAAATAATCTCTTATTCCTTTCAATACTTTTGAAAGAAAGGGAATATACAGTATCTAAAATAAAGTAAAATTCAAAGTTTAAAGCATAATATAGTTCTTTGGGGCCTATGTGGTCCCGTTTTATAGTGTTTTCATTATATGAAAAGTTGATGGAAATTGTATCGCACTGATGTAAGGTGGTATAGATAGTAAAATCAGCTATAGTTCCAGGCTAGAGGATCTTTGAGAAAATAACAACTTAAGGATAAAATGAAGTTGAGGTCGATGATGGCTAACAAATTAGTTAATAGATGATTATAAAATAAATTTGTTCAGAGAACAGTCAAGGATATACAAGGAGATATAAAAGGACAAAGGAAGTAGCATGGTAATAGTTGAAGGGAAAAGCTTGACTTCTGTATATATTGTAGCTACTAAAACTTTTCAAGGCTACAAGCACAATACCAAAACTCTGATTCAGAGCAATGCTAGGTTATTAGCAAAGCACTGAACACTCATAAAGAATTATTTATTGTAGGCGAGGTAGTAAATCACATGTGAGTCCTGTCTTAGGAAAAATTCAATGGAGAACAAGTATGTTTGGTGAATGTTTAAAATATTAAAGTGAGATTAAAACGTTCTATCAGAATTCAGAAGAAGAATATACCGTATGGGGGGAGGGACTGGAGGATTAAATGACAACCTAGCATGTGAAGAGTACACAAGCTGAATCTTAAGAGAGTAAAGAAAGGAGGAAAGAGCTTTCCAATAAGGAACAGCAGTATGAAGAAGGGAAATAAGGTTGGAAAGCAAAGGAATTGCCAAAGGATTGGGACGACGCCACAGCCTTATGTCAGACATAAGGCTGGAAGGAAAGTGGGAGCCAAGACATATACAATGCATGGGATTTCTTTTCCTTGCCTCTTTTTTTTTTCCCCCTTCAGTTTGGAGTGGTTCCACTTATAATTGCTATATAACACATGAATCTAAACTTTAGTTACGGTTTAAATACTTATGGATTTTGTAGTTCTGAAATTCAGACAGAGCAGAGAGGAAGCGGCTTATTCCCTTATTCCTGCTCCACGGTATCTGGAGGTCTTGAACACGAGGATGATTTTATAACTGGGGGATTGGCGTCATCTGGAGACTTGTTCATTTACTTGTCTGGTGCCTGCACAGGACGCTTTGAAGAACAGGGCTGTGCCTCTGTGTCCATGTGTGGCATCTCCATGTGGCTTGGCTTCCTCACAGCGTGCTGGCTCCTGGGTTGTTGGACCTTTTACAGGGTGCCTTAGGACTCCAGAACTCAGACTTTCAGCAAACAAGCTGGAAGCTGCATGCCCTTTTATGATCCAGCCTCATAAATCATTTGATGTCATTTCCACTCTATTGGTTGAAACTGTTCCATACCAGTCCAAATTCAAAAGTAGGATATACACACTTCGTTTCGTGATAGCAGTGCTATCAATAAGTTTAGGGGTACTTTTTTGTTTTTTGTTTTTTGTGGAAGCATTTAAAGATGTTCATATGAGGGTGCCTGGGTGACTCGGTTAAGCGACCGTCTTCAGCTCAGGTCATGATCCTGGAGTCCTGGGATAGAGTCTCCCAAGGGGCTCCCTGCTCAGCAGGGAGTCTGCTTCTCCCTCTGACCCTCTCCCCTCTCGTGCTCTCTCTCTCTCTCTCTCAAGTAAATAAATAAAATCTTAAAAAAAAATGTTCATATGAATGAATGAATACTCAGTAAGTGTTGAATGAGTGATTTGTAGGTAAAATATATTTCTCAGGGGCGCCTGGGTGGCTCAGTGGGTTAAAGCCTCTGCCTTCAGCTCAGGTCATGATCCCAGGGTCCTGGGATCGAGCCCCTCATCGGGCTCTCTGCTCAACGGGGAGCCTGCTTCCTCCTCTCTCTCTGCCTGCCTCTCTGCCTACTTGTGATCTCTCTGTCAAATAAATAAATAAATTAAATCTTTAAAAAATATATATATTTCTCAGAAATATACACTGATAACTGATCTCAAGATAAAGGGTTGTTAGAAGTTAGAAGGGAATTAAAATTTAGAGTCCTATGGGACCCTCTCTAAATTAAAAAGAGGCACTGCATTAAGTATTTATCAAATTATATTTCTAGATTTTAAATATATATAGTAACTTTTATTTTTCCTATTTTATAGACGAGAAAATAGAAATTCAAGAAATTGATTTGCTGAAAGATTTATAGGCAATAAGTGGCAGAGATCCAATTTCCAATCAAGATTGAGTTTTGTTAGAGTAGGTTTTTTTCTCTTGAAGGTAGGGGACAAAGAAAAGAAGGATTCATTGTGATACACTTTGTGAGGTTAGAATTGCTGGGATTTTGCCAACAATTGGATGTGAAGGTGGTGAAGAAGAAGTAAAGTTGAAGATAAGTCATTGTATCCAACATTACCTAATGAAGCAGATATTGGTGGTGTCCTTCAAAAATAGAGAAGATAGAACAAATTTGTTCTAGTTAGCAAAAGGAGAATAAAAAACAGGACTGACAACATAATTTCAAAATGAAATTTTATTAAGAGTTTTAAGACAGTGGGCGCCTGGGTGGCTCAGTCATTAAGCATCTGCCATCAGCTCAGGTCATGATCCCAGGGTTCTGGGATCAAATCCCGCATTGGGCTCCCTGCTCAGCAGGGAGTCTACTCCTCCGTCTCCCTCTGCCTGCTGCTCCCCTGTTCGTGTTTTCTCTATCTCTCTGTCAAATAAATAAAATCTTAAAAAAAAAAAAAAAGAATTTCAGTACAACAACAGCTGAACATTAAACCAGGCACTGGACCCCATGGCTAGCACAAATCCCGCTCCCATGAAGACAACCCTGAGAAGAGTTCAGTCTGGGGCATGTTCCATTTTAGTTCCCAGAGATTGGGAAAAGCTTTCTGCTTTTCATTTTTAAACTGTGAAGTGAGAATAATGGTGCTAACTGCCAAGTGATACTTGAGATCCCTGTATATTCATGTATGTGAGTTGCCTAATTCAGTGTGTAGTGCCTGATATTCAACTATATAAATGTCTATGAGTTTTTTACTCTCCCGTACCCCTGAATATGTATTTCAGATTCTGAGGCATAGTCTTCTCAGTATTAGGTCATCCATCAAAATAAGGATAATTCCCAGATCACCTCATCAAGGCTTTTCTGAATAGTGTTTAGACAGCCTCTACAAAATGATCTTTTTTTTTCTTTTAACTCAAAAATTTAAAGTTAGGCCAATTTTCCCAGGCCACTTTAAAAAGTATGATGGACGTTTGGAGTTCCTTTTCTCTCAATGTAGTGATTCTTAAATTTTTGTTGTTGTTGCTGTTCTTGGATCTCTTTAAGAAGGTAATGAAAGCTAAGGACCCTTTTCATTTAAGAAAGCACCTATACATGAAACAGAAGGCAGGCTCACTGGGATCCCAGGCTCCTTGGTCCCCTGAAGTCCTTCCATGTACCCCAGATTGAGAACACCATCGTAATCCGAACATACAGTTATTTACTTCAGAAGACTCACATTTTAATTTGAAATTCATGAGTTCCAAGTGGTTACAGAGCTTGATAAATCATTCTTTACCATTGTTAATATCATGAAGGGAAAACTTCTAATCAATTCGATTTCACGGGCCATGTGTGAATATGGATTTCAGCCCTGCCACATAGGCTCTCTGCTCACTGAGTGAAGAGACTATTCTGCCCACATTTCAAGGTGAAGCTCATCTCCCCTAGTGATTAATACTGAAAACAAGGCCCATGGGATCCAGCTGTCTCAAACCACACCCTAGGCTGCTTCTATATGCATCCAAAAGATTACTTAATAATATTGATATATCTGCATGCGGTGATCATTCCCTTGTTTCCACAGACTTGAAACCAGAACTTATTTGAAGTTTCCAAGTCTATGTCAAAAAAAGGATTCTGAACGCCTCAGAATTTTGACTCTTTACAGGTAAATATTTAAATCTTAAAAAATACTTTAAATAGTGATAGTTTATTTTCCGTAAGTATAAAATGCATTAAAAAGCCTATATTCTAATTGGGCAAAACTGGAGTGTTTTATTTTTTCTGTTTAGGTAATACATCATCCCTACTCTCAATTTTTTTTAATTTTCTTAATATATTTGTGAACTGTCTTTTTAAATTCAGATTGCCTATGACAGACTATTCCCACTAAATATAACACTTAGTTCTTTGTTACGTTTGTAGCAGTTATTCCTGTATTATAGATATCCTTACTTGTTTCAGCCTGAATGTGCTTTCTTAAAATGTCTAAGAATTCATTAAAAATATAAGAAAATGTTTGAAAGATGTTATTGTGTCATGTGGTTTAACTAGTTTTCAGTTATGAATAGTAACTCATCTTCAGAGGTATATTGTTTTAGGGATGTTATATTTCAAAACATGTTAAAAATGAACAAGTTAGCTCAACTTCCTGTGATATTTTTGAAGTTTTGGTCCTGGTATATAAAAGTAAAACATAAGTATTGTCCTTTACGTGGAAATTATTAAGAAACTTTTCTAGGATGGACATTTAATTGAAAACAAAATAAGTTCCATTGCAAAATCAAGTAAGTTCCATGAAACACTCAAAAAGAGTTATAGATATGGCATAGGTTTGATATTTATGGCCCCTCATGTTAGCAGTAAGAGGCTGTGTCTTCCAAAACATTGCTTTATATAACATAGACAAATAATTCACTTTTCTTTTTATAAACTTCAGTCTGAAGTCTCTAGGCTCTGAAATTTAGATTGGAAATTATTACATTGTATCAGATTTAAGTACACATACAATTGAATTCCAAAATGAAATAAAAAACGAGTTTTTTAAAGCTTATCTTTTACTTCAGAAAGAAAAACCTTAAAAATTATTTGATACATGAAACTTCTTTTGCTTAAATGAAGATAACTGGTCTGTCACAATGTATTCTCTTTAGATAGTAAATCTTTGCTTTAAAAAAATAGCAGTTCACATTTACTGAAAGCACAGTATATGCCTGCTATTAGCTAAATGCATTATGCATATAATCCCTTTTAATCCTCAAAGCAACACTCTGAAGGGAATAAGGTTGTCATTTTATAGATGAAGAAAGTGAGTTTACAGAAGAAACAGAGTACCTCACACAACTGGCAGGATGGAGATTTAAAGCTGCATCATCCTGACTAAATTCTAAGCTCTTTTTTGTATCGGTCATAAACATCATGGTCTTTTCCTAGTCCCACAATCTGTGAAGTGTTGCGTAAAATATAAAAATGTTGATATCTTACTACATCAAGCCATCATACCCTGTAGTTACAAGTTGTGAAACAAGATTGCTTGGATTTAAAGTTACTTAAACTCTCTGTTCTCCAATTTCCACATCTGCAAAATTAGCATAATCATAATGCTAATTTTATAGACTTATTATGGGAATGAAATAAAATCTATTCAACAGTACATGGAAATTACTAAAAAGGGCCCTGGCAGATAATAAATATTCATAATATGTTAACAGTTAATATGATAACTATTACCAAATTATCTTTGCTTCATGTATGTCATGATGCCCTACAAAGAATGGAAAGTTTTGTCAGACAGAAATCAGATTTTATTTCATTTTTTCTTCTCTTCTATAATGCAAATGGATTCTCGATGCATAAAACTAAATGTTTAGGTTGCCTTCCCTCACCCTCCAAAGCAACTAATTTGGGGGTGTGGGGGCATGAACATTTAGTACTGAAAAATATTTCATTCTATGAAAACCCAGCCAAAGTCTAACATATTAACAAAAAAGAAAGAAAGGAAGAAAAAAAAAAAAAACTAGAGAAAAGAAATAAAGCCCTGGAAACTAGACATTTACATCACCTCTATGAGTGAAAATAATAATGCCTTCTTCACAGATTCACTGCCAACACCTTTTCCTTTATACTGGGCGTACCAAGCTGTTTACCATATGGGTGTTATTTAGCCATTTCAATTGCCCAAGACTGAACTGAATGGCACCCACACACACACAAATGTCCACACATTTTGTAACTTGAAATATTGAATAATAGTTATTACTATTTCGGATGAAAGACAAATGCTTTACCTTTTCATTTAATATTCTGACAACATTTGTCACAAAACTTCTTAAGGCTCTTTCTTAGGTGACTCAGATCTTTGGGTTTCATTTTATCAGCTATTTTTTAGTTTTCAAGAAATTTAATATTTTCATCCATCATTTTTTTTAATTCTCTTAATGAAAGCTTGATATTTTAAGTTAATATTGCCGCTTGCATTGTTACTTGCATGATTATAAAACATTGCTGTCAATGTCTAGCAGAGTGATATAAAGTACATTTCCTAAGGAATAAAATTTAAGTTATTTTAATAATATATAATTACACTATTTGTCTATACTTCCCTCTAGAAAAGAGAAACTATTTCAATATGAGCCCTCAGTACATGTTTATTAAAAAGACCTCTGAACTTTCAATACGCTAAATAATAGTGGAATGTAGAAAGGTAATGGGAATAAGGTAATGGAAAAAATGTGGTTATTCCAAATGTATTAACTTCAACTTGAGAGAAGTTAGAATGTTTCAAATGCACTTGCTAACATTTTATCTTAAATCTGTTATTTTCTTCAGTATAGAAACAAAAAACTCTAGAGACTATAGACTCTTGGAATAAGACCACATAAAGCATATAACTCATATTCACTCTCAATACTGCAAATTATCTCTTTACATCTGTTGTACTTATCCCATACTTCATATGACTGGAGGGAAAGAACTGTGACCAAAAAGCGACGCAGATCCCTGCTTGATTTAGATTAAATAATTTCACCCTTCTGGCCTTCAGTTACACTTCTGTAAAATAAAATAATTGAACAACTAATCTCTCAGTTCCTTCAAATCTTTAGGTTTCTACCTTTGTACTTCTAATAGTGGGAAACTCAGTACATTTTTGATCGTCCACTGGAAAGCTCAAATTTTGAGAATGTTCTTGACTCCCTGTATCATTTGTCCATTGGCTGGGTTTCTACCACTGACCCAAGGAATACCTGAGGCTTTTGCTAGTATGCCACTCGGTAGCTATTCCCTCTTCTGAGCTAAATACAAATAAATACAAATGTAATGCCTATTTTAATGACAACACAAGAGTTGCACTCAGTAAAATACTGAATTTTAGATGTTAAAGGTTTGGGGTCCAACATCCACCAAGGCTATGTTTTGGTCCAGAAAAAAAAAAAAATGGCTATTCGTTTACTCAAACATCTCATTTCTTCAAATATATATTCCATGCAGTCTTCAGAATAATTACTCAAAACATATAACCGACCAGTTGTTCTCTTTCTGTACTCTTTTTGTATTTCTTCAACAGCTTTGGATAAAAATGCAGTTCCTACCATATCACAAGGAGGACTGATGACTGGACCTCAGATCACTGCTTTGCTGCTTGTTTGGGTCCAGCACAGAACTGCTTCTGGCTCCTAAGCCAAATACTGCAGTTTCTTTCTTTTATTTGCTGCTTCAAGTGGCTGCTTCTTCACCAGGTTAAATGATACTCATTCTTTGATGAGGCTCTTTAGAAAAGCTTCTTTTGGCTTCCTTAATGTCACAGGATGAGACTGGGTTCCCTTTGACGACCTCCTATCTTCTAGGGCAAGTATCATACCATTAAACTTACCAGAGAGATTTCCAGTACCCCTTCTGGTAACTCATGTCCTCTAGATTCTAGACTCTAATAAGAGAGTAATATTCTGAGAGTAAGAACTTTGTCTCACTTATCTCTAGACTCCTCATGCTTGGCATAATGTTTGACACACAGCAAGCTGATACTGAGGGTATGATGAACACATGAATCAGGAGTGATCATATATGAAATAGGGCAGATTGCCAGTATGGGACAGATATTTGATCAGTCTGTGTAAGAAATACCATCAGTCTGTGCTGAATCTGTAATAAAGGCATCACAACAATAAAAAATAAGCACCTGTTTATATTGCCAGATAATTTGACACTTAACTTGAAGAAACATTGTGACACATGGAGGATGTTTATCATCATCATGGAGAATGTTCCAGTTTCAAAGAGCATCCCAAGTGATGCAACTTGAAAGTGGGAGGAAAGCTACACATCCTTGAACCCCCCTCCTGGGTTCCGTTGTTGGGAGGAGGTGGAAAAGGGGGAGAAACTATATGGATGGCTGTGCACACTTGCCAGGGTAGCTATGTTCAGCTACTCTCTAGTCCTGCCAAAGTGGAGGTGGTACATGGAGCATGGTTTGCAAAACAGCAGATGAGGTTGGTTTGGTCCCCATGGAAACCAGATCTCCCATTGAGAAGTAAACATATTTGATACTTTTGTAATCAGAACCCATCAAAAAGTGAAAAATAATCCATTTTGTATTGTACTTGTATTGTCTTGAGAGAATGGATTTTCTAAGTCGGATTCAGTCAGGTATCAGACTTGATCAAGTCATGCCCCACTTTAACCACTGACATAAGAGATTTAAAAAGCTCCTCAGTTGCTATCCTGACTTAGCTATCTATATAAGTCTGAAAAAATATTTGTGTTCCATCATTCTACTGGAAATGAGATATGGTAAAATGACCAGCATAGCCAAAATGGGTCACTAAGTATATAGTTATTCACTCCAAATGTCCACCTGCAGGCAAAGGCATCTCAGGATCAAGAGTTTTACAATAAAAATAATGTTAAATGTAATTTTAAAAACTGCAGTACTTACCCATACCTATGTGACACGATTTCAGTGTACCTTTAAATTTGTGTATTATGCATCCAAATATACTGTAAGAGATGGCCTGTAATCCTAACATACTGATTAGGAAATTTTTAAGACCAGTTTTGGGAAAATATTTTGTCCCACTCCTTGAAATTTTCCTTCTGAGCATTACATTTTTAATGTTACAAGTGAAATGATCCTGTACCTATTCTCATTAGAATTGGGGGATTTGGTTGGCG